GACACGAAAAAAGACAAAAAGGAAAAAAAAAAAAAAGTGGTTCCTGAGAAAAGGCATTCCAAAGCTGTAAAACCACATGATTTAAAACTTCCCCCAAGTGCTTTAAAAAAAAAAGATCAATTTCCAGTTAAGATGGCGGAATACACAGTTCCCAGCGTCACTCTCTCCCACAAATCAACCAATTTACAACTACAAAAATGTAACATCAGCCAAGCTGGGGCCACTGGAGCTCACGAAGGTGGGAGAAACCACGATTAGAGAAAGCAAAAACTGCTCTGAGCATTTCGGGCTGTGGCTGCTTTAAGGCTGGAGCTGCTGAGCGCATGCAGCAGGAGCCAGCAGAAGCTGCAGCTGTGCCCTTCAGATGGAGTTACTTGGAGGTGGCAGGGGAGAAGAAGGCCTTGGCAGACCCCACGACAGCAAAACCACTAATAGGGTTCCCATGGAACCGCCCAGGAGTGAGGAGCCAGAACAAATGAAAAAAGGGAGCCATACAGAGGTCAGTGAGTTATCACAAGGGACCAGTGCAGGGCCTGTACCATGGGAAGTGTTTGGAGCACTAGTGGTGGGGAGACAGTCTCATCAGGAGAACACTGGGGCACAGCAAGGACAGCTGACCTGCCCCCCAATCAGCACAAGACCACTCAGAGGAGACTGGTCAGGAATGCAGAATTGCATGGGATGCAGTTTAATGAAAAAACTCAAGCCCAGATCAGAGTTTCTACACAACCCAGATCCACCAGGTCTCTGGAGAGCCAAAAGTACCTATAAGATCAACCTTTAAACCATGAGCTGCACAAAAAGCCTTCCCTAGGGAAACAGCAGCAAAGCAGCAACTTAACCACAGAGCTCAAGTACTGGTTTTGACAGGAAGTTCCCCCATGTTAGAAGTAAGCACAGGACAGAAAACTAGTTCTGGACCAGGCACACCACCAGCACCTTGGGGCCTACCTAGGAACTGGAGGCTTGGAGCCGAGGACTGGACCCCACTCCCGCATTCAGGCAAACCACACCAGCACCTCGGGGCCTGCCCAGGGAGGCATGGAGTAGGAGACTGGGCCCCACCTCCCCCACAACCAGGCACATCACACCAGCACCTCGGGACCCACCCAGGGGACCGGACCCCCCTCCAACAATCAAGCATGCCGTGCCAGTGCCTTGGGGTCCTCCTGGGGATCCAGGGCATGAAGAAAGGGACCAGACGGCCCTCCCACAACCAGGAACACCACAGCAGTGCGTCAGGGCCTGCCTGGTGACCCAAGGCATGGAAAAGGGGACCAAACACCCCTTCCAAAATCAGGCACACCATGCCAGCACCTGGGGGCCTGCCTGGGGACCTGGGGCACGGAGAAGGGGACTGGACCCCCCCTCCCACAACCAGGCTCACCATGCCAGCACCTCAGGGCCCGCCTGGAGACCCTGGGCATGGTGAAGGGGACCGGACCCCCCTCCCACAACCATGCACACCAAGCCAGCACCTCGGGGCCCACCTGGTGACCCAAGGCATGGAGAAAGGGACCAGATCCCCCTCCCACAACCAGGCACACTGTGCCAGTGCCTCGGGGCCCACCCAGGGTCCAGAGGTATGGAGCTGGGGACTGGACACCCCCCACAACTAAGCACACTGCCAGCACCAAGGAGCATGCCAAAAACATCACCTCCATGTGGGTAGCCCACCACAGCCACCACAATAACCACAGCTGCTGCTAAAGTGGCTAGATGCCACAACTTCCACACAGATGGTCCACCAGCCACTGGAGTGCATTGACACACGGGGAGTCACCAGCAGAGACCAAAGAAAAGAATAGGATGTCTCTCTCCACAAAGCCCATTCCAGAGTGACAGAAGAAGCATCTGCTCTACGATAATATTGGGGGACCTGAACACACCTCTCAGCACTGGACAGCTCATTTAGGCAACAAATTAATAGAGTAACCATTATTCTTTCAGAAGGAGAGAAGAAATCTAGGGTAAGTAGAGGGGGGAGGAGGAAGGGGAGAGATTGGACAAGGGACATAAAGAATAATTACGATTTGTAACATATGCTAGTAATATTGATTTGATCAACATATCTCAATGTTCAATCCCCAATATATGTATTCATCGATTTTGATTCAATAAATAAAATTTTTTTAAAAAAATGGAATTGCAGGAAAAGGGGAGGGAGAGGGAGGTTGGGGTGGGGGACACGGGGTATAAATGCAATTTGTGGTAATGGATATGCTGCCAGTATGAATCTGGCCCTCATATCATGGGCACGAGGGGTGACAATCAGCTTTGTATCTCACAAATATTCATAGCCAATAAATAAATAAATAACAACAACAACAACAACTACAACAAAAATCATCCTTTTGACATGATGCCTTTGTAGACTCTGGTCTTTTGTAATCATATTTTCTAGTTCTCCTGTTTATGAACAGTGAGGGTCTAGGTATGGAGAAAAAACAAGCCCAAGGATCTGGAGAATTTCTTAAGCTTCAAAGAACCACTAAGACTCACCAGAATCACACTTTGGTCAAGAGAACCAAAAATGACCCTTTGCAAGGCCCATCTGCTGGAAGGTTGTAAGGTATGGAGTCCACTTCCCTTACCTTTTCCTCGGTCCCACTCCCGCACATGTGGCACTCCAGGCTTGGTGTCCTTCCTCTCTTGGACAATGACCTCTACTTTGCTAGTCTGAGCCACAGTATGTGGAGTAAGCACAGCCTCTGGTTCCAGTGACAAAGGCTCAATAACATCTTCATCTATTTTTTGTAAGGGAATAAGACATCATTATAATAAAGCTTAAAGCCATTAAAAAAAAAAAAAAAATAGAACATGCTAACCCTAAAAGTAAAAGTAATAACCAGAAGTTATGGAGCACATACCACGTCCCAGTCAGCAGGTTATTTAAGTATTTTGTATGCAATAGGTCATTTACTTCTTGCAACAGCCGTAATAAATTCAGTGCTTCCATTTTATCCCCATTTCATAGATGAAGAAAATTAAGCTCAGAAACTCCACACTGGCAGCAAGTGATAAGAACCAGCGTTCAGGGGCCGGCCTGGTGGCGCACTGCTACAGTGCGCCGCTTGGGAAGCGCAGTGGAGCTCCCGCCGAGGGTTCGGATCCCACATACAGACCGGCCGCTCACTGGCTGAGTGAGGAGCGGGGGCAACACCCAGGGTTGCGATCCCGTAGCCGGTCCTGGTCCGGTACGGGCGCAACACTGAGGGTTGCGATCCGTTGCCGGTCATGAAAAGACAAAAAAAGACAAAAAAAAAAAGAACCAGCGTTCAAAACCCAGGCTGGATGGATTTCAAAGTCTCTGTGCTCCCCATATGTCACTGTTTCCCCAAACGAGGACCAGTAATCCCCAAATTCCTCAACTAAAGTAATCTCAGACAAAGCAAGAAGAGTCAAGGTCATGAAGAGTTGGAGCCTGGTGTAGGCTGTTCAATTTTGGTCATGTTTTAAAAATTTAAAAGAAAATGGACTTTGTTAAAATGCTGTGGCAACATTTCACATCATGTGGAAATGACACATGTTCAAGATACAGAACAAAAACAGAAGAACAATATGCAGAGCTTAAAATGCTATACAGAAGGCATTTAACATGAAACTAAACAAATGGTTTTCAAATTCCTAAAAGTTTCTAATCTCTTTTCAAACCTAAATTGAAGTTTTATTCAGAGGATAGAACATGGCCCATGGCTTAGCATATGGCTTTTTGTGACAGCCACAGAGGCTTCTAAATGTCCCTTAACACCCACACTCTCCTTGTTCCTCTTGGTAATCGAACACCCCAAGTGTCAGTTGGGTACATGGTCACTTCACTGGAGAGTCCATTTCCTGGCTTGCCCTGCAGCTAGGAGTGGCCCATGGGACTGAGCTCTGGCCACTGGGATGAAAACATGTAGGTCATGTAAAAAGGAAGTCGCTCCCCCCTCCCCTGGGCTGGATCATGAAGCAGCACTGGGAAGCAAGTTTCCACTGTGCAGATGAGAGCAACACTCTAGGGAATGGCAGAAACTGGGTGACAATCTGGGGCAGGGCTACTAACCTGCCCTGGATACCCCACCCACCCACCTCTGAAGTGTGAAAATAGTATGTCTCTATCTTTCATTTGTCTGTTTAAACAAGACTTCTATCTTGTGTACGCCATTCTACGTAGGGGTCTCCTTGTCATGGCAGTTAGCTTACATTACCATAACTCATACAGTTAGTTAGTCTGACCACAGCAGTTAACAGTTTCCATGGGAAAATGTGATCCAAGTTCCAAATCATCAACTTCTGGAGCAAAGTTCTTTGATAAGCTTTGGTAAGCTGTCTATAGACATACACCTAAATTCTTTACTTCCTGACTTTGTGAATATGTTTTTTTTAAAAAAACGAATACATAATAACCAATAAAAATTACAGCCATAACAAAAAACTTTTAGACTTAATGTACATGTGCACAACTAAACTTTATCTTAAAATATCTTTTCTCCAAATCTCAGTAACTAAACTGTGCTCTTCTGAGAAGCAACCCAATGTACTGTTCACTAATGTCCTTGTCTATAGCCTAAAAATACTGGAGTGTCGTTCCACATCACTTTGGTTATAAAAACTGCTCCTGGCAGTACCTCAAAGGTACACCGCTTGCTTAGACATAAAACTAAATGGCTAATTTCCATACTGCTAGTCCTATTAGTGAGATTTCAATGAACTAAAATTTTCCCTTTTGAAGTTCAGAAATATGAGCCATGATATACCTCTATTTTCTTCTTCTGCTCCATCTTCTTTTGGTTTTTTCATCTTTTTTTGTCGAAGTTTGGCAAGCCTTGCTTCTAACATGGCCTTTCGCTTTTCCTTTATGTTTTCTCGTTTTGTTCTCTGATCCGTTGTCTGAACAGAAAGAAAATTAGAAAATTACTTGCTTGAAGCCAAACACACAATATTTCTGTTCAAAAGGATGAAATAATTTTCTTCTAAAAATAGACTAAAGTGACGAATTTTCATGCCACCTCTAAGAAGCTATCGTTCAGACCTTCAGAATGAAGCACTCTTACACGAGCCTTCTGATATCTTACCCAGGCCATCTCAAAAATACCATATTTGAAACCAGATTTAAAATATCAAAGTTACACAGGCTCCTTCTGAGCAGTTATAATTTTAAAGACTGAAGCACTAAACAGTATGGCAGTTATCTTCATGCAACCTACAACATTGTTTTAAATATCAATTTTGATATCTAATCAATTTACTAGATTCTTCTGCAGTGTGATGCAACATGAAACCAACTGCTCAACTCCTTAGCACCAGCTTTGAAATGAATCTGTACCTGTTCACGCAGCATCTCTAAAGTTTTCATTTGTTTGTTTCTCAACTCTTTGTCTCTGGCAAAGGCAAAATAACCAACACCAAGTTGCCGGGCCTCTGAAATAAGTCAAAATTATCCAAAAGATTAGATTTTCCTGATCAGTAAACTACGCTCAAGCCAAATATCCTACCAAAGCAAAAAACAAACACAGTGATATTTCGCACAAGTTAAAACAAAAACATAAAACAAAAAACCAGAAAGCAAGCAGCTAAGCAAAAAAAAAAAAATGTTACAACTAGTTTTCATCTTGTCTGCCAAGTGATAAGTGTTGCAAAGACTCATTAGTTTTCAACCACGGGCTATCTCCAGTTCTCTTGGGGAGTGAATGCTCGGGATGACAGACCCTCAGGAAGCTATTCCCAACATAAGTACTTTTTAGGCTATGAAGTGAACAAAGGGGATATTTTCAATTTCCAAAGCAGAATCTTTTACTTCTATGTAAGAGCCATTGCTTTATGAATACTTCCCTTTATGCCTGCCATGAGTTCAAGATTACAAAAATGATTTAAAAAGCTGCAAGAAAATAATTATACCATTTTCCCGGATATCTTCATAATGCACGGGCCCCATCGGCCTTTCCAGAGCCTCCCTCTCTTCTTCCTCCCATTGCTGGCGCTGAAGTTCTTTTCTCATGTCTTCAGATAACAGAGTTTTTTCATTAGCAGGACTAATGAAACTAGTAGGAAAATAGAGCAAAACCTATCATTAGATAAGGACTATGAGATATCAATGCTTAAGTTCAGTCAGTTGGATCATGAAGAAGCAACACTATTCGATAAACAGAGCTCCCCACAGAGGTTTCTGACCCACTGGAAAATCAATAGAATAATTTTCTTCTTTCTTACTCAAGCACCAGACTTGTTACATTAGCATAACGGAATCCTGCCTCTGCACTTGAGACCAATAACTTTCCTTCCCACCTTGGTCCTGGGCTGAACAGGTGGGAGGTGGCCCGGGCAGGGAGGAAGAACTCCGGGCCTTCCTGGATGATCACTTGTCCAGGGACATGGAAGCTGCCTGACACTGCAGCCCCAGCAGTGCCTCCCGTCCTCACGGATGGCTAGACCCCAAGAGGCTCGAGGTTTCTGCTCTCCCCTGTGCCCAGCTCAGGCTGGCCGTGAGATGCCTGAACCTGGAGGACATGGTCTAGGTGGAGCTTCTCCCAGCACTTTTCACATATCAGCTGCCCATGGTAAGAGAAATTTTATTCCCTGGGAGGTTTTACCAAGTTATCTCTTAAGTCTGTCTTAGAGCCTGCATTAAAAAAAAAAAAAAAAAATCTAGTTATAAAGCCCTTACTTCAAAAAGGCAAAGGTGCATAAAGAAAAAGTGAACAAGCTAACTGCCTCCTTGGCCCCACTTGCCTGTGGGATAACCAAGCATATATTCTGAAACCTCTCTCACCACAAAGTCTGATTTGTTGGTTTGGGCTTCATTCCATATTTGTTGCTCCATAATGAGACATCCTTCTAAATAAATATAGCTCTACTCACAATATGAATGACCAAACATTCAGTTGTTCTCTGAGCATAGATTATGTGTGTGTGTACATGCTAACTACTAAAAAGTACTTCAATAAATATTTTTATACATCAAAAAGATCTCCTTACTAGAATGACAAAGATAATTAATTATAAAACAGCCTCTCCCACAAAACAATCCCTGTGGCTGTGTTTCAGAATGGGGCAAAACTCTGCATATCACACACTTACAGTCTCCCCTGAAGATTTTTATCCATCTCCAGCAGATGTGGCAAATCCTTTCTCATACAGCGCCGGGATCGCCCTAAGGAGTCCACATAATCCACCCTGAAATGAAAGTGAGAAGATGTGAAGAAGCCTTTATGCACGACGTGCAGGTCCCTAAGTCAGGGAGCTGACGCAGAGTGAAGAAGCAGCGTCGGCCTCAGCACCAGGAACCTTCAACCTGAAAGACCGCTGCCACTGATAGGAACATTCTTTCTAAAGTTGACACGTGATAAGCTCATTGTGCCCTTTTAAAAATCTTATATCTAGAATCTGTAGAAAATAATTGATCATTTATGTCTCTGATTTCAAAGATAAGTCACAGAATTGTGCTGTAACATCTAAGAATCTACTTTAATCTAGTTTAAACAATTCCAAATATTCTATCAGCATCTTAATAACTTTGCTTTTTTCCCAACATTCTCAACTTGCTCTTTTCCTCATAGTCTTCTCAAGTCTGACTTTCTATTCCTTCCCTCATTTCTTCTAATTGTTATAATTCTTCTCAATGAATTAGAAGTGTCTTTTTTTTTTTCCTTTTTGTCTTTTTTCGTGACCGGCAACGGATCGCAACCCTCAGTGTGGCGCCCGTACTGGACCGGGACCGGCAACAGGATCGCAACCCTCGGTGTTGCGCCCACACCTTGCTCAGCCAGTGAGCGGCCAGTCTGTACGTGGGATCCGAACCCTCGGCGGGAGCGCCACCACACTCCCAAGCGGTGCACTGTAGCAGTGCGCCACCGGGCTGGCCCCTAGAAGTGTCTTAATGTAACTAACTAGGAGGAAGCCCAACAACACACTTCCTTCCTCATTTTCGCCCAAACTAGACAGTAGGGAGAGACAGGGATGACAGAAAGCAGATAGAAAGGCAAAATGAAGTATTCTGACTTCATTATGATGCAACAGATTTTTAAATTATGGGCAGGGAATCTCCTACAGCCTTAGCAGGAGCTTTAACTGTGGTGAGGGGCCAATAAGCATCAGCTAGTGGACCAGTTCAAGGTCAGAACCAGCATGCACGGAGCTCTGTTTTGCTAGCAACTTTGTTCCTCTCAAGCAACGCTAATTTTAACTGTTAGCCTGTGATTTAAAAATGGAACATTTGGGAATCCATTACTACAGCCCTAAAGCTGATTATCACAAGAAATAAAACCTTCAACTGCAGAAAGTAGTTTTTCTCCCCCCACTTTTTTTTTTTTTTAATGAATGGGGGAAGAAAATGATTTAGCCAGATGGTCTGTGTAATTATTTACAGTATTTTTGTGGAAAGATTTTTCCACCACCTGGAATTTTACTACCGAAAGGATTTTACAAGTGGTTACAATTCTGGAGCTTAATTTAAAACGAAAAAAGTGTCAGAACTGCTTGCAGTGTGTCTTCTTTCACCATATGGTGGCATGTGACACCTTCAATTGCCCTCCAAACTCTTCAAATCACTGGCAAATCGCCTGTAATCATACAGGCATTAATAAGCAAAAGATTTTTAAAAGACATTAGACCTTTCAAAGGAGATGAGATTTCTGCTATGAAAAGTAATCATAGATGATTCTGTTTCTGGAGAGGCCTCCAAAACACACAGATTCCGCCAAAACAGAAGTGGCAAGACAGCAGGCAGCAACTGCTCCATCTAATCGGCACCCACTCATGGAGCCCCTCCAGCAACAGTCTTCTCAAGCAACTGGGGGGCAACCCAAGGAGAGCTAGCCATCATGCCACCTTCAAAAGGCAGGCCCACAAAATGCTTACTAACCACATTAGGCAGGACATAAGGACTACCAAACGTCTGCCTCAGATTTCTTTCTGGTAATGAGGTCTGGTATGTGTCAATAATAAAAAAAAGGGTAAGACCCAAAGAGCAGGAAGTATTTTGAGGGCTACCCAAGCTCAGATGGGGAGTAGTCACTTAGATCAGAGTGATGAAGAAAGGCACCGATGGAAGAGACTGCAGACTCTTCTCTTTTGGTTCCTTACAGCAAGAAGCCAGATACCTACCCCAAACGACATCCAACTATTTCAGACATAAGTTTTTTAGAAGGTAGGTAAGACACTAGTTGTATCCCAATGAGAATGTTATTTCTGGACCAATGTGGACACCCTCATCCGTATGAAGAGGTGGGTTCTCTGTCAGCCCCAGTAACTGGGTCTGCTCTCTTTTGCTCATAAATGACTGCCCACAGGGCCCAAGGCTGACAAAAAGTGAAGAAATGCTGCAAACAGTCCTGATCAGTTCCTAAAAAATACCCCCCATGATGAGGACATTTGAGCCTTGAAGGGAGGGTGGGTGGGCTCCCCAGGCAGGAGGGTGTGAAGGCAGTGTCATTCCCAGGAAATTGTCAGAGCATCAGTAGATCTCTAAGCAATTTCAAGCACTGCTGAACAAGTTTCTTAGTAACAATGTCTTAGATAGAGAAAATCATTACAACAGAATTTTCATTCTGATCTCTTTACTTATTGACACATTGGTCTCTTTATAAGGAAAAAACTAGTTTGATTCCTCCATTGTTCATCTACATATAGCTAAAACTCAGAAAAATTTTAATTATAAAAGTTTGCAAAATGCCGGCTTATACCCCACAGACAGCAGTTTCGTGGGTAGCCCAGGATACTCTTAACTTCCTGAAGGGACTTTAAGAGCAAACAATCACAGGAATAAGGCATTATAATCTCTATCTGACAGATTAGGAAACTGAGCCTCAGAGAGGATGTACTTGACCAAGGTCACACAGTAAAGGTGGAGTTGGAGCAGTCCAGTGCCTGCAATGTCCATACTGCACAGCCAGAAAACATCACAGCCAGAGTAAGGCTTACTGTTCCAACTCTGCCAGCTTCTTTTTGCTGGAAACAGAGCTCACCACTTCCTTGAAGATGACTCTCCACGATGTCGGACAAGAACATGGGTAAGGCAGCAGCACAGCTAACAAAGGAACATGCTTGCCCTAAATGACCCCTCACATTGGTGAGCCAGGACAGCACCTCCGGGCCCGGCACAGTGCATGGCAAACAGCAGAAGCTCAGTCATTGTTTGTAATTATGATTTCTTCATTAGAGCTACTGTTTTTACATCTATAACAGCCTAATCCAATCTCTCTTACAGAGGAGTCTCAAAAGACAGAATACCCAGGAAGAAGAAGAATTGGTTTGACAACAACCAAACAAAATCACTCTCAAAAAGTCAGTGCATGTCTGAGGCTGTTACTCTGATCTAAACCACAATACCACGAACCATTCTTCGCTGGGGTCTTGGGGAGGAGGTATATCTCCTTCAAGAAGACTTTCTTCTTCATCATTCCTTTCTCCTGCCTTTCGAGAATCTCTGTTGGCACCAGATGACTCCATTTCTTTGCGCTTGTCTATGATCTTCTGTGTGAAATCCACGAGGTACATATCTTCTACTTCTTCATCTAGGACATAAAAATCCATTTTCAGATACTTAACATCAAAGAAGAAAACCAAGCATGGAACTGACAGGAACAGTCACATTCATCGTGGGCAGCTCATTGCCCTGGCGGTCCACGACTTGACGCCTCCACCCCTGGAACATGGGCAAAGACACAGCCAGCTGGGAACCCAACAGGAAAGCTGTAAACAGGCCATGGGAAACATATACCACACCAAAAACTCTTTTAAAAGCCTAAGGTTTTCAGTTGCCTTATCAATACACTACCTGAGTGAGCAATGCCATCTCAGAATGACATTTTAAGATAACGTGACCATTTGGTTTTAAGCGACTCATCCAGCCAATTACATGATGCTGAAGCAGAACTGTACCTCTCATGTTGTCAGATTTTCTGCTATTGGTATAATATACATCTCTAATTGTGTGGGCTGGACTACTTTACCCTAATTACATTGTTGTGCTATGGTAAGTGTTTTAAAGGACACAGTATAGGCAAAAAGTCACCTGAGTTCTTTTCAAGCTAATGAACACCACTCTCAAACAAGGCACAGAGCCCTGGCCAAACTATGCAGGGTACATAGAGATGTATAAGATACTATCTGACCTCAGGGATTATGATCTACTAGAGGAGCTAAAACATACACTGAAAG